AAAAAAAAAAAGGCATAAAAGACTATATGAGAAACCTTAAGAAAATGATATATGAAGAACAGGTAAATATAAAAAAGTATAACTAGACCTTCCATAAAAGGAAAGTCATTGGAATAGATTTAATGGATTAAGCGATACAGCTGAGGAGACTGCAAAGCAAACTGAAAGATATACCTGAGGAAACTACCCAAAACGTAGCACAGAAAAATTTATATTCTTAACGTATTTTGAGTAGTCTGAAGATGAAGCAGTAAAGTTGAATATTTGAGCTATGGGTGTAAAAAGTGGTGCTAGACCTATTATGTGTAATATGGCAGTCATTAGCTGCAGGTTGCTATTGAGCACTTAGAATGTGGCTAATATGACTGAGGAACTGAATTTTAAGTAACTTAAATTTAAAAACTTCTACCTGATTCAATTATTAGAAAACTTAGATATATTTGCAACAACTTGGGCATGTAAATTGACTTGGTGTGAAACAGGTAAAATATCTGATGAATATTTAGTGTCTAAATTGAGACATGCTGTTATGTGTGAAATATACACCAGATTTCAAAGACTTAGTATGAGGAAAGTAAAATATTTATTTAAAAAATAATTGAGGGGCGCCTGGGTGGCTCAGTTAAGCGTCTGCTGACTCTTGATTTCAGCTCAGGTCATGATCTCTGGGTCTTGGTATCGAGCCCCACATCAGGCTCCGTGCTCAGCGGGGAGTCTGCTTGAGATTCTCTCTCTCCCTCTCCCTCTGCCCCTCTCTGCCAGCTCACACTCTATTTATTCCCAGAGAGAGAGAGTGAGATAGAAAGCATGAGAGTACAAGCAGGGGGAGCGGAACGCAGAGGGAGAAGCAGGCTTTCCACCGAGCAAGGAGACTGATGCAGGACTCAATCCCAGGATCCTGGGATCATCACCTGAGCCGAAGGCAGATGCTTAACCAACTGAGTCACCCAGCCATCCCTAAATCAACCTTTTTAAAAAAAATAACTGAATGTTGAAATAATACTTTGGATATATTTCATTAGATAAAATATATTAAAATTAATACCCTGGTTTTTTTAATGTGGCCATTAGAAAGTTAAAAATTGTACACATGAAAAAAAGTTACACACATGGCTCACATTTTCTATTAGCACTGTCCTGGGACATGTACTTAAAAAATGTTTGAGATTTGAGTTAGTCCCTCAGATCTCAAAAGCTGAAGGGTGGAGAATAGGATGTGGGGAGCTAGAAAATTCCCCTAAAGACTGTGATTGCAGTTCCAGGAAGCTGTGCAAGCAAAGGAGTTCTCTCTTTGTCACTAAAAATAAAGCCACTCTAAGGACTCTGGTTGCAAGTTGCGATGGCTTTTCCCTTAAGTTCCAGATAAAATGGCAGTGTTTAGGTTGAGATAGCTGTTTCTACAATTAATAAAGTGATTATGAACATAGAAATATAGAAAATGTATATACATATATATCTTCACATACATGCGTGTATATATATACACAAACCTACAATACATAAATACATGTATTTACACAATACATAAATGCATGTAAATACATGCACACATGCATGTATTTATTTCTGGTTATCAAAATTTCTATGTGTACTAAACAGTGCCATTTCTGAAATACTCAAGATAGACTCTACTGCACTGATTCTCATTCTTAGTGTGTCTATCAACCAAGGATCTTGCTAAAAGTGCTGAGTCTGACCCAGTGAATGAATATACACATATTTTTGTATATTCACATTAATATACAAATATATATTAATATAAATATCTATATATTTCTTAGTTGCAATTTTTTGTTCATTCATTCATTTTACTTACCCATTGATCAAATGAACATTTGAGAACACGGGTGTTCTCTGAAAATTCATGGGCTCTCATGAATTTGAGCCACGTGCTGTGGCTCTTTCTATTGGATCACCTCTTCTCCTTCGTAGGTCCCTTGGCACTTGCCTTATTTCTACTATATTTCATCGATTACTGTACGATCCACTAAGAGAGAATGCTGCCAATTAAACCATGACACATCACGGACTTTAAGACATAGCCCTCATTTCAGAGATGTCAAAACATGGAAAACATGCATCTTTGATGGCACACAGCATTGGCGTTCCCTAGGTCTCACCTTGAGACCCAAACTGAATACTGCTGCTGGATACATGGACCTGGATGGCCCTTCGCACGTGCCTTCCCCATACCTGAATTCGTTATGGCTCCTCCAACTAACTCCGTTTTCTTCTCTTCTGTATCTCAGTGAGCAACACCATCTCTGGGTGATTCTGATGCAGATGGCTCTCAGTCTGTGCCGAGGAACACTGTTCTTCAAGGAAAGCCTTCTATAATCTTTACTAGTGCTCAATCCTTATGGCTGTCATTCAAGAGTTTAATATTTCACTGTCATTATTTTCCTTTGGGTAATTTATAAACATGCTAATAAGGACATCGACCAGCCTCACGATGCATCGTCAAGAATCACTCTATACTTTTTTACTTAGAGAAGTGCCTGTTTGATGCTATTCCCTGTTCCTTATCTTAAAACTATCTCCTTATAAGGACAAAATATTCCCAGTTTGTCCTTCAATATTTAAATATTCACTTGATTAAAACTTTCAGTAAAGCATCACTTTTATTCTAACCTTTAGGAAGGAAATCTGTCCTGGGTGTCATAAGAAGGTTGCAGTGGGGAAAAGGGGCCAGAAGGTAACCACTTAATTCCAGTAACAACATGATCTTGAGACTTTTTTAAGCTGGAAAAGAACCCCACTCATTTGTGTACTCTGAAATGGGTGCAGTCCTAACTCAGTGCCACCACTAAGTGAACAAATACAGAATGTGTTAGACTTAATCTGTGTGCTCTCAGCGCGATGCCCTGTATTTTTGTTAGTTAACTAGAATAAACCCATTAACATACCATATTAATATATCACCCCCACCTCTAAAGCATCATTTCTCCCCATAAAATAAAAATGACTCATTTAAAATCTGCAGATGGTTTAATTTGTTGTCTCAACAGTTAAGACTTAAGACTAAGAATGAAAATTTTGATAACACTTTCTAGAAAAAATGCTTTATTTAAAAATATGATCTTTTTTTTAAAAAGAGACAACTTTTATGTACAGTTTAGTTTAGAAACAGTCAAAAACACAATAAAATAAAACCAGATTTAGAAATTATGATTTGTAACATATACAATACTGATGCTGAACGAGATAGTTTAAATGTATGATTAATTCTTTCTGTCCCATTACATTTCAGTCATTCACATTTGTTAAAACCAGTGGCTTGGGACTAAAGAAAAGGTATTCTGTGAACTCCTCCTCCCTCTTCAGGAAGTGCAGCTACTCGTGCCGGCAGATACAGAAAGGCAGCAGCCAGGCAGTGCATTCTCATTTCTTTGAGTGTCTGTGTGCCCCAAAATAACGTGTCTTACCATTTTTTAATTCTCTTTTTCTATCTTCTATTTATTTATATGTGGCCATAGTGCCAGGTCATCTATACCAGGCCTTTTTAAAAATTAATTTTTAAAAATGGAAGTTCTAAGCACTAGAAGCATGAATTGCTATTGACAGTCCAGGGCTCAGAGCTAATGCCCTTAGGATATCAACATTCAACATGATTTTGTTCTCCAAGTTGGCACTCTGAGCAGCTTATGAACCAATGTTTTGAAGCATGGTACTGAAATATTTCAAAGCACATTCAAATATTCAAATATCTTACAGAGATTTGTAATAAAACAGGAAAAATGGCTTGTCAACCAAAGTGCTGTTAGCTACTATCTTGATTTCATAATCTGAAGTTCTTAAACTTTTTTTTTTTTTTAAACCAACCAGTCATTGCTTCTCAAACAGGGGAACCATAGCCATCTTTCTGGAGTGTCAATTTTATTCAAAGATTTGGAAAGAAGTCAAAAATTTTTCTAATCTTTAAAAAGTTCTGTTGCATATATTCATAAGCAAAATCAGAATAATTTTAAAGATAAAACACACCACTTCAAAGAAATTACAAGTTGACATTTTGGACGATGCCCTCATACCCTAGCTCCTATGAGGAGTATTTCAGTAGTAACATCTGTGAATCGATGACCTAGGAGACCCTGATTTCTGGAAGTGTAGCCAGGTCCTTACAGATAGTAAATACAAATAAAACTCAAAGTCTTGACTCAATTCTCTTGAGTTTCACCTTCAAAATAACATAATTCTCTGCTTATATATAGTCCTATCTATACTGATTGGGAAGAAAGCCAAGGAAACAACTCTGGACTGTTTATTTTCCATTGTTTAATAGTTAGAGAAATGCTGCAGTCAGAGAAGATTGCTGGCTTAAAGTAAACATACGATATATGTCATAAAAAATAGAACTCCTGAATCCAAAAGATCTGAACTTGACCCACCAAAATAATGGGAACAGTAATTGTGGGTGGTTTTACCTTCTTTCAGATTCACATTAAATAACATCGTCCCTGGTCCTTACTTCCCTTTTTGTTGAAGCTTAGGTAAACACGGTGCCTTTCAGAATTATTTGTCATTAACTGTATTACCTCCTTTAAAACACCAAATCCACCAGGGATTCTTCCTCAACTCCAGAGAGATCCTTTCAGTATGTCAAGGGGGGTAAACCCAAACTGCCTGCCAACAACTACTCACCACATAGAAAGTCAGTGGTCATTCTCCGTATAAATAATATCTATAAAGAACAAAATGAAGTTGCCAATGAAATTATATGAGCCAAATTTACAAAAAATATATATGTATTTTTAAACAATGGGTCAACTTCATAAGGCCATGTAAGGCAATCATAATCTGTAAATCAAGTTGTCATCCAACACATTTAATAATTAAATATAGTTAAATACGAACTTGGACCAAAAACGACCCTAGCTAAGGACTAATCTCGTTAATCCCACAACTTAATGAGCCCATCCCAACCACATGTTATGACTTTAGAGGTTTCATGTGGATGCCACACTGCACCTATACACACTTTATCGTGAGCTTTAAATCGACTGTAGAGTTTGGTGGTCTTCCAGTCCCAGATGTTCAATTTTCCATTTCCATCTCCTGAAATCACATAGCTAGAATGGGAAGAGAAACAAATTCAAATTGTTCAAACACCTTAAACGGACAAAGTGTGTAAGGAACAGAGAGTTTATCTTTTTCACAGTAACAACAACAACAACAAAGTCAATGTGAATATACAATACTCAGTGAGAATAACAAGGTAGAGCACCAAACAGTCTATAATTTAAACTTCTACCAAAAAAATCTCCCCATTGAGCTACCAATCTGTGAGTAAAAAAAATGTATTAACCAGGAAGGTTGGGAAACCCAGGGGCCACAATAAAAGCAGTAACAAGTCACTCTTTAGACAGTCAGAAACAGGGTAGGGGAACCAGCCTCCCACAGAGCCTGGGAACACCCATTCTACCGTAGTTAGACTCGACCACCTTCATAATTATTTTCTGGTTTCAACGTCCTTTGAAACTGTCTAAGACTGACTCGTAGGAGTCTAAGGTACAAATCCCAGCCTAAACATACAAGGTTACAGAGATTTCTGGATTACTTCTACCTACATATTTTAGCTAAGAATGGGGGAATGAATGCAGAGTTTCACTCATAGAAAGACTCTATCTATAGGGCTTCACGAATACAGTGCAGCCTAGAAAGAGTCAAGAGCTGGATTTGAGTTCTCACCAAAGAAAAGCTGCAGTGAAGTTGTTAATGTCAACACTGCAATACAGAATTAATTCTGCCAGTGTTTAATCACAGCCACATAGCGATTATAGTCCTCCAAGCGTTGTGAGAAAAGCAGAGAGAAAATAAGGCATAGCCCGTATAGACAGGAACTTATGACATGGTTAAAGGGCACAGGACTAAGCAAGATAAAGAGACCCACTGAAGAACTTAAAAAAGTCAAATGTAGTTTTCATAACTTATTCTTGTCTTTCCATCAGGCACTGTGACAATCTGCACAGTTATCATGAGATTATATATGTGACAGTGATTTTTTTTTTTTTTAAGATTTTATTTATTTATTTGACAGAGAGATAGACAGAAGAGCACAAGCAGAGGGAGTGGCAGAGGGAGAGGGAGAAGCAGGCTCTGCACTGAGCAGGGAACCCGATGCAGGACTCGATCCCAGGACCCTGAGATCATGACCTGAGCCGAAGGCAGACGCTTAACC